ATCACCTGTCCATCAACAACGTTTGATACTACCGATATCTTATACGCAAAAGATAGTTTGACATGTATAGGTGATCTCTATAACTGCATTTCATTATTTACACATTTACAACACCTCCATTTTAACATATACGCATATTTGTAAAATATAAATTACGTCTGAGCCATGTCCTACCTTAAATTAGAACACTTTACTTTTCCTAAAAAAAATTTATCCCATGGTTTTCTTGTGATAACGACATGTCATTACAAAATAACAATGAACATTTTCTCAAGATTATGAGATAATTTCTCAATGGTTTTCTTGAGATAACAAATTAGGGTTTGACTCGCATGCATCATTAGGTAACCATGAACACGACTTGATCCCCTCAGCTGGTCAACGATGAAGTTTATACTGTATATCAGCAGGATCACTTAAGTGCAAACACCTGCTGAGCTGCAGTCGGGCCAGCCATCTCCTTGAATGATGGGGACTGATAAGAACGTTATCTGTACAAGACAAACAAACTGCAATTTCAGCCCGTGTTATGATAGAGCGTTTTCACCCGAAACTGAAAATTATGGATTTATTTTTATGGATTTTGTTAGCTGGTCTCTTAATAAATTTTTGAAACATTTTTTTTCCATGTGAGGACCTCTGTTGTGCTCTGTTCAACTAGCATGTACTGGATTCTGATCACTGGATTTCTACAGATTGGCTTGGTGGTCTCCTGGGGTCTCGTGTATAAACGGTGCATACGCATAAAAAAGTTGCATGCGCCAGGTTCTACACCCAYAYTGTGATGTATAAAAATCAACATTGCGTGAAAGTCTGTGTATATTTACGTACACTTTTCAGCTGCCGTGAGATTGTGCGGCAGCCACGCAAAGTTTTYCAGTCGACAGTTTTAACCCASAAAGTCACGAATCTGACCTGAATCCAYRGAAATATGACTCTGTTCTGTTTTCTAGATGTAAGGAGCATRTGAACACGGTGTTAGATTTWTTTTAATTTGCGTTTTTATTGTTTAAACTCGAACRATCATGAAAATGAACCCCGCRACTGAAAATCCTTTAACCTCAGACAAGAAAATAGATCAGCCTAAAAATGATCAAAACAAGCTCAGTCCAGTCTGTAAACTGTAAAGTTTTTAYAWTGTTGTCACGTAGTTGGAAACACATGCAGAGYGCATGGCCTGCGGAGCGCACACACAGCTGAGAAGAATAAAATGTGTGAAAGAAACTTTTTAATTCTCACTGAGAAAAAAACTCAGCATATTAATTCAGAACATCTCAGCTGTGATGATTCCTCAGCTCCACAAGATGCAGAAAATAGATTTGTTGTGCGTAATTTATGGATCAATGTCTGCTGTTCTGCAGGCTGATATCACCACAAGAAGAATTGAGGACAGCGTGGGTTTTTTTTTTTTGTTTGTTTGTTTATTTGAATCACAGCACTCAGACTCTATCCCTATGCGAGCTGGGACTCAGTCTGCAAGCGGTTCTGCTGAGGGTCATGGGCCGACTGCAGTCCCTGGACTTTTCTGGTAAGATGGAATTGATCTGGAGAAGTTGATAGCTCAGCTCGGCGGGATTGCCCACACTATTTATC